CCTGAGCATCTAGCCTGTACCCCAGTTCTGTATGTACAAATAAATAAATCTTTAAAAAATAAATAAATAAATAAATAAATCTTTAAAAAAAAAATGGGGGATCAGCAAGTATTAGGTCTTAAAGATGAACCAGCCCAGAACGCTCTCTTCCACGTGAAGAAAAATCCATCCTCCCCACGCGTTTTGCCCGACTGCCCACTTAGTCACATCACGGCCCGCCAGGAGTAAGCTCGTTCCCTGCAGAGAGGACTGTGGTCTGTAGTGGACCCAGGATTGGTACAGTCCAGTGCTGAGCAGGGAGGACTCCCCTGCACCTCCCCTCTGTCCTGTCCTCCTGGCCACCATGACCGTGGGAGATAAAGCCTTGTGCAGGGTGGGCTGGCGGTGGGCAGGACGTCACGGCCATCTTGTCTGGCCTGGTCTGCAGGCCTTCGAGGACATCTACCTGGAGGAGCGGAAGACCATCAGGGTTCTGCTGGAATATGCTGACAAGATGTTCACCTACGTCTTTGTGCTGGAGATGTTGCTCAAGTGGGTGGCCTACGGCTTCAAGAACTACTTCACCAACGCCTGGTGCTGGCTGGACTTCCTCATCGTGGATGTGAGTGTGGGCACCCGGAGGGAAGAGGGCGTCCGTTAGAGAGGAGCCGAGGCAGAGTGACCGACAGAAGGCAGGGCCACTGTCGGCAGGGCAGAGCACCCTGTGTGGAGCTGCTCAGCTGGTGTGGAGCAGGCAGAGGGGAGTAAGGCCAATAGAGGTGTAGAAGGATAAAGTCTGTGGTGTGTAAATGTCCCAGGGGGTGGAGCCGGGGGCTCCCCTAGGGAAAGAATGTCCACCTGTGCCTCCCTTCTTTGAAGATGAGGAAATGGTGCAGAGCCAGGCTTGGGGGAAGAGCCCCTGATGTCTGTCAGTTCATGCCTTACCCAGGCAGGTGGTCTCTTTCCAAAAGAGGCTTCTTGGGCAGAGGCAGTGGGCAGCCCCGTGAAGCAGACACAAAGCCATGCGCGTGGACCAAGAGCCAGGCCTGCTGTCTCTACCCCTCCACGCTAACCCGCTGGCTGCAGAACTCAGTTTTCTCGTCCTCACGAGGGATGGTGCCTTTGCAGTCCTCTGGGTGGGGGGCTGTTATGGAGCATGAGAGTAACCTGCACTTAGCAACTCCCTAAAGGAATAAAAGTCACAACACAACCCCCCCCACACACACACCTGACCCCCAAGTCGCTTTTGCTCCAAGAAGGCTGTGCATGTGTGACAGCCTGTGAGACCATCCAGCTGAGAGAAATAGACCGGACGTGGGGAAGGCCACGGCCTTAAGCCCCGCCCAGCCCAAGGCAGGCCAGGAGTGCTGCCACCCATCCCAAGAGGGTCCCCGGACCCCGCCCCACCTTGCCTTCCACAGGTCTCCCTGATCAGCCTGGTGGCCAACACCCTGGGCTTTGCCGAGATGGGCCCCATCAAGTCTCTGCGGACTCTGCGTGCACTCCGACCCCTGCGAGCCCTGTCACGATTTGAGGGCATGAGGGTAAGAGGGACGGCCGCCTTGCTGGGGGCCAGCGGGGGGAGGTTGATCCCCAGACTCGGCTTGCCGACCAAGCAGCCCAGCTTGTCACTGGGACTGTACCCCCTGTTGTGGTGAGACAATGGTGCAGACTCTCCAGGAGGGGCGAGCCAGGGCCTGGAAGCACCGGGAGGGAGAGAATGGGGAGGACCCCTTCCCCGCTGTCCTCCCCAGGCCAGGAGAGCATCTAGCAACAGGCAGGGAGGAGGCCGGGAGGGCCTTAGCACACCCCAGCACGGCTGGCCTGGGGCTGCTGTGCTCCTGCTCTCCCTCAGGCCTCTTCTGGGCCTGCCCTGACTCTCCGTGGGCCCATCTGCATCCCTGCCCCCAGCAGACACAGGCCTCTTCCCTCCCCCTGCAGCAGCCTGGGAGGGTTGTGAT